TCGAAGGGCTCTTTTCGCACAACCACGTGAAGGGTGTAAGAGAGCCAGAGGCGGTCAAACAATGACTTGGCAGCGAAGTATGAAAGCCATTACCAGCAAACTCAGCTGCGCTGGTCACTGCCGTCTTCCTGGCTGGGGACCCCGAGACGGGCCAAATCAATGGCTAGAGACATTATCAGACATGGCCCAGTCGCGCCCTCAATGGCGCTCGTGCATCCAAGCCATTGCGTTTAATGCATAGCTCCTTTTCCACCCCCCCTCTTGACAATCCATTGACAGTGCTGTATGTACGCATCAGCTCCCGCCTGCAATGCACAGCTACCTACCCCTCCCCCCAAATCATCGGTGAACGAAACTGCGGCAGCTACAACCACTGTACGACGAGTACGCGGTTATTACAGCTGACAATGATGATGATGATGATGACGGGTGTCATGGCAGCTAGGAACCGCAAGGGTGCTACAGCCGAACGATTTTTTAGATTGTCCATCTCACCTGTCTTGAAACATGGACTGGGAAGTGTAACATGTGGGCGAGTCATTGGTCGCGACGAAGTGAAAAAGGTTTGGCTTGTTTAGAGTAAGATGAGATCCTGTGGCGCTTCATTCGTGGTGTCATCAACCATCGACCGGCAGGAACATCACCGGTCTATCCCATGGTTTGACGACCCTATTCAAATTTGTCCTCGGGGCGGAGTATCAGTGTACAAGTATTGGGACCGCGTGATCCCCACTGGTCCTAGTTGCAGACACTCCAAGATGTGGCTGCCAACCGATAACACTGGCGACCTTGTCAGTTTCTATCCAGACTGGCTGAATGAGTGTATGGAGGTGTAGGCACGTCGGAATGGTTGTAGCACTAAGTTCCTTTCCCGTCCACCTTCATTCTTTTCTTCATAATAAGGCCTTCAAGTGACTCATTGTACGATAGTGAAGCATCGGTGTTGAACACCGATGTCATGCCGTCGACGATGATTAAGACGCACTGAAGGCGATAACCCTGATGCACCAGCGCCATTGCGCGATTGGGCCATTTCTGACTATGCCATAAACCATTGGTGGGTACAGCCCCATCCAAGGAGGCTACAGTTGCCGACCCGACTAAGTTTACTGGTTAGTGTTTTCGTAATTCGTTGCCAGCTCATGCACTGTCCACCTCTCGGTGGCTTCCACTCAGCACAGGGCTGGGCAAAAAGAGATTTGTGAGGCGACGGTCTTCTGGCGTGTGGGGTATATATTATAACCAGCGTAGCCTATGGAGCTTGAGTAACTCATCCATCGCGAGTGAGTTCCTTCTTCCATCTGGTTTGCATCAGCATTGCTAATTTGACGTTCCCACCAGACCTGGCCAATGCTCCGGAGGCACCGATGCTCAAGTTGACATCTTTCTTATATCTTTTGAGCGTTGATGCCATGTTTCTGATCGACAAGGCATTATGGATCGCATCACCGCAGTCTAAACTCTGCCCCTCACAAACAAACTGACATCACGTCGGCATCATAGGTGTCGGAGTTTGGCAAAAGCCGTCCGGGCCTTTCCGATTGGAGAAGTAATCTCATCTCAAGCCAGTTCACTGGAACTTATACAGTTGTCCAGGCAAACAGGTTTATCTACTACGTTGATTGGCTCGCCTGCAAGCCCATCCCGTCTTGTGCAAGCACTTTAGATATGCAGGTACGAAACGCGTGCCAGACGTATGCCAGAGTTATGTTATTTAAAATAGTATACATACTCATTGTTGTGAGCGAACTTCTCGGGAGCATTTCGGCTCCCTAGGTTTCCGGGACAGGCAGAGGAATTTCAAGCAGCATATCAATAACAAAGAAGAAAATAACAAAGAGGAAAGGTGGTAGACCGTACCCATATCCGAGTCAAGTCTCCAAGATAAACAGTTTCTGGCAACTGAACAACGTATTCAAGGGAAGTCGACAGCTTCGGGAAAAGGATTCCTCTGACGACTGAGCAAAATGGGCTGGAATCAGGTACGTGTTGGTCCGCTTCAGTGGATGTGGTTAATGGAATTACTGGACTCTGACCAGGCCGATCAGCGGCAATTTCAGCTGTAGTTTTGCTTTGCCGGCAGTGTGGATGGGCAACTGTGTGTGTGTGTTGGCAGCTTTGCTTCCCTCGCTTGGCGCTCAACGGCTCGTTCAGAACTGGCCCGAACCAGGGGATCCGACTGTCTAATTAAAGCCAAACATTGTGATGCCCGCTGACCGGTTTTGACGCAATGTGATTTCTGCCCAATGCTCTGAATGTCAATGTGAAGAAATTCAATGAAGCGGGGGTGGGAGGGTTGTTAACGGCGGAATTATCTATGACTCTCTAAAAGTAGCCAAATGCCTTGTCATCTAATTAATGGCGTACATGAATCGATTAACGAGATTCCTACTGTCCCTATCTACTATCTAGCGAAATCACAGCCAAGGGAATGGGCTTGACAGAATTAGCAGGGGAAGAAGACCCTGCTGAGCTTGACTCTAGTCCGACTTTGCGACATGACGGGCGTAGAATAAGTGGGAGATGGGCTCCGGCTTGTCGCCAGTGAAATACCACTACCGTCAACGTTCCTTTGCTTATGCAGTAAAACGGGAACAATATTTTGGTCCTATGCACATGCCGGCATGTGTGGTTTCGCTCAGGGTGTCGGTATCTTGGTCATACCAGATGAGTCGTGACTTCGGTCGCGGCGTTTGAGTCTGGATGCGATGTGCGATCCGTTCTGATGGGGCGGTACATTTGTCTAATAGTAACGCAGGTGCCCCAGGGCGAGCTCAGCCAGAATGGAAACCTAGCATAGAGTAAAATGGTAAAGGTCTGATTTTGCTGTTTGTAGCTTGAAGCAAGAGGCCTCAGAAAAGTCACTACAGGGATAACTAGCTTGACCGAACCTTCGTAGCAACGTCTTTACGATCCTTCGGTGTTGGCTCTCCCTGGCGTTGTGGCGCAGGATCCACCAAGCGTGTGATTTTCCACCCACTAATAGGGAACGTGAGTTGGGTTTAGACCATCGTGAGACAGGTTAGTTTTGTGCTACTAATCATTGAGAGACGGCTCTGTGGTTAGAACGCGAATTTATTGACCGGAGGGTCCGTGATCCGAACCCGACCTGTCTCTTGACTTTCCCTATCTAGGCATGGGAAACCGGGAAGTATTTCAATCCTCGTGCTTCATTCAGGTAACATGGCAGCTAGGCACCAAAAGGGTGTTACAGCTAAACGATCATCAATAATCACTGCAATGACTTGCAAAACAACTTGGCCTTTGCTTTGGTAATCCTGTTTAGTACGAAAGGAACCACAGTTAAATGTGCCTGGCTGTAAGGCGAATTTTGCGAAGCTATCATCTGAAGGATTAGGACTGAACGCTTCTAAGTCTGAATCCCGTCCGCATAGCAACGGTACACTCTGTCCGTGTTACGTGGCTAGCCTTGCTTACGTTTTTCTTTTGACGCTTGGCCCAGGTTATTTTTGGCCTGGCCCATGAAGTCTGATATAATGCTAGATCGATTACGGAAACCGTATACCGGACCCCGGTATGTGAAGGACGACACGATATCTAAACGCAGAATCAGCGTGAAGGCACTAAATCTTTAATGGACGATCTAATTTTTGTCGGGGAGGCATAAGTGTCCGAGCGTATATCATACTGCGAGACGTTGACCCGCGTCCCTATATGACATGATGATGAGCTAGGCTATCATTCATTCCCCCGGATGGCGATGCTTGCTATGCGCTGCAACTCGCCTGGGATTCTGTGGAAGTGTTTCCCTGTGAAAAGTGAGCGAACTGACCGTTTCCAAACAAACTATCGCGGCGAGCCTCCTTGGTCCAACGCATTTCAATTAAGCTTTGAGAGCCGCTGGTATCGGAAACGACTAAGCTGTCCAGATTGTTAACACCATTCGTGCGAAGGCTGCGATAACGCTCCAACATATGATTCGAACTATCTTCATCCTTCCGCGGTGGTTAAAAGAGCACTCTGGGTCAATTAGCACAGCTGAAGAAATTCAAAAGCAGTTGAGTGTCACACAATATCATGGTAGATGAAAGGAGCATCAAATGTCGTTGCAGCGTTTTCAAAGTTAGCAAGATATTCCAATCACTAGCGTGATTAAGAGCCAAATTTAAATAAGGGACTTTATATTTTTAATGTGTGAATATAAATCCTTTCTGAGAACTGTTGTAACTGGACCTCTATTTCTTGTCTCGTTACACCAGTACCCAACTGAAAGAGTCGATTACATATGTTCACTATGGGAATCGGGATGTTGAAACCAACTTAGAAAGATGTGCTGGAAATAGTACCTAATTAGTAGAAAGAGGCGGATTTCAAGTACCACTGAATTTCCATCTTTATTAAAGTGGTCACCTACGCAGTTTAGTTTTTCGGGAAGTAGAGAGCGAGGTGGCTAGGACGGACTGCTTGAACCAATTGACAGGAAAATTCATTTCCGCTGCCAGCTATTCCTAGAGAGAAAGAAGTGGTGTGATTTCTTCTAGACCGCCATGTATTAGTGTTTAGTTCATTAGTCTGATGCTCCGTCTCCAACAGCTGGCCATCACTGGCAACTGTCCCTCTATCATACTTCTAACGTGACTTTCAAAAACGATGACATACCTTTTTTTCAGCGCCCCTCCACATTCCCTTCTCCTTCCTACTTACCACCTGATCGAAATGCATAAACTCACGGCGGGTGCGATTGACGTGAGTTTGTGTTCATACTTCAGAGTATATACCTTGTCTAGTTGATAAATTCAGGAAAAACTGTGGACGAACCCATTCTGAAAGTGCTAGTGAGTTTCTTTTTCGACTTTCGTCAGTTTTCCCACCAGGGTTATAAGGCTGTCCCTAGTGAAAGTGGCGGGCAGAATCGCTACCGATTGCTCCTTTCCGATGGCGTCAAAACACACTCGTGTATGTTTGTGTGCAAATTCTATCCTATTGTTCCAGTCGCTATGCTTGCTACTCAGTTGAACCACTTGATAGAGAACGGAAATTTGGTTAACGACACCGTCGTTCGTATCAAGAAGTATGTGTGCAACGTTGTGCAAAACAGCAAGTAAGCTATCTACCTCTCGGTTCGAGATAAGCTACCACTTTCTTCCAGATATGTTCTGATTGTACTGGATGTTGAACTCCTCGGTGTCCAGCATGAAACAGGTTAGTGAATTTCACAGTCTACCATGGTCTGTCGATCGGAGAGTCAGCTGCCGGCCCATATGTGCAAACCAAAGCTTTCTGCTTTACTACAGTCGGTAATTGTCCCGGTGAGGTTTCCGATCCCTGAATTTCTTTAGCTGTATCTCATCCTGTCCTCCTTCATCGTAAGTGGTTGCAGCCAAAAACTGTGCAATTGTTCACTGAGTAAATCTGTAGTGACCATTTGGCTTGTTCCACGTTCATCGCTTTCGCCCGATGTAGTCTTGTTGTTCCCTATTGAAATGAGTGTCTTCCCATTACTTCTTGTAAACATGGACACTCATTTCTCCTGCATTGTAAACTATGTAGTCTGAATAGTTTGTCTCCTTTATAGATTTTCGAATCAAGTGACCCACAGACTAGTCACCTTGCCAAATCACAGTTATGGCATGCGAAAATTAGCGGTATGCAATATTGTAACAGGGAACGCCGGTCTCCGTTGATTAATTCATTCGATATTTCACTTATTATTGTCAATACATACAGTGACCGGCCTGGCTCACACGTAAGCGTACATTACCGTGTGGACTGATGGGGTTCACCTTGGGTGCATTTCACCCTCTTTTTGTCCCTTAGATACCAGCCGGCCTCCCTTTCGCGCAGTATCTGAGAATGTGTCGGCGCCATCAGCTGTGAAACCACCAGCCGCTATGACGCCGACCAGTACGCCTGTGACACCTCCGAAATCCTCAACAGGACCCTTTCCTGGTGGGCATCCGTCGACGCCCGGGACTCCTGGTTCTGGAATGCCTAAAGTGTTCCCCATCCAGAGCTTAAACCCCTACCAAAACCGATGGACGGTGCGCGCGCGTGTTTCCCAAAAGTCATCAATTCGTACGTGGAATAAGCAGGGTCGTGATGGGAAACTGTTCAACTTTACCCTTGTTGATGAGAGTGGTGAGATTCGCGTGACAGCGTTCAACGCGGAGGTTGATAAATTTTTCGACATGATTGAGGTGAGCCATGTCGATGGGTTATGTTCTTTTCACTTGCCTATTCAATTTATTCCATTCCTTTTCTCATGAGTGTACTTTATAAAATTATGCCTATTCCTCGTCGTTCCATCTGTTGATAATTATCTAGAATGAGTTCTATTGATCTTGTTATTTCAGGTCAACAAGGCTTACTACGTGACCCGAGCGAATTTGAAAGCTGCCAATAAGCAGTTCAATACGACGAACAACGACTATGAAATGACTCTAAATGCGGATTCGCAAATAATCCCGTGTGAGGACGAAGATATTACTGCTCTACCAGAGACGCACTTTAATTTTGTATCCATAGGCAAACTGGATACATGCGAACCTGGTTCATTTGTCGGTAAGGTTTTTTGACACTTCATCTTGGTCGTTACACTAGTTACGAGTACTTTTGGGATTAGAATCTCAGCTTTACTATCCAGCGACGCCTGTCCTCAGTTTAATCTGAGTTATTCTCTGGCTTCTAATCATTTTCCGTCTCTCATGGTAAACGCCTTATCTGGCCGGAAACGAGTTCCACGTTGTTTCATTACCTTCCTGTTTATTCTGTCATCGTTTGGTCTCCACGTGGGCCTCCCCATGAATGGAACTTTTGTGTTTGTAGGTAGTCTTTAACTAACAACGCCAGCAGTGTAGATGCCGATGGCCTAATTATCTGTTCTTATTAGCATAACAGCTACTTCCGTCACAGAATAGAAATATTCCTGGGTAGGGGCGCCAAACCATCTCAGACTCGCTGGAATTGAGTCACGTTGCGACCGACTGCTGGATTTATGGTACAGTTCAAATTGGCCAGTTGATAAGAAGCGCAGCCTCCGGAACGGGACTGATCAAACAACTTTTCACGGTCATTTACCTTTTACTCCAATACAGAAAGCTCTGAACCCTCTCGATCCGCTTTTCCAACCGCCTCGTTGTCCTCTAGTTTGGTGAATCTGTACTATACTTCCCTTCTGACAGCTTACAGCGTTCGCACACTAAGACGGATCAGGCAATAGAGGGGCTTTGTCTCGATCCTAGGAATGTCTCAATGTTACAATACGCTGCTTGTCACCAACTCGCCTTCATGCTTACAGTGCCATCACTTGCTGGGACTCTCATTCAACAAGGAGCCCACCAATGTCATCTTCGGTTCTTTAGTGAACCAGCAGTTTTAACAACTGTTTGGTCTAGCGTTGGAATAGCTCTGAATTAAAAGGCAGAATATGCTGTTTGTGCCGTTTGCGCCGACCAGCCGAACTTTCGATGACAGGAAGGATGATCTCTGGATGAGTGCGAGAATGCATGCCATAGCGTTGGCCGGAGGTTTGAACGCACACTTGGGACATACATGTAGTAAGTACCACCTCGTTGGTCGGCATGAAATCTATGACATTACAGGTGATAATGAGGACCGCCTTTTAAATGTGTGTGCAGTCCAACAACTGTCTCTAGCGGACGTCATTACAATCGTCAACATGGTGCATTCATGATATGCCACCCAAGAAAGGACTTGGATCGATCGCATTGTCGCTGGCTACCCGTAGAGAGATTCTTTTCCGTTCCTACTAGCATCCTCGCTTGAGCTCAACCGTGCCGTAGTGTATGGGTAGCATATGAAAAGCGAGTATATGAGTATATGAGTATATGAAAGTGACATAGACATCTGCTCTCAAGTTATTTGGACGATATTTCGTACTTATCCAGGTCAAAGACAGTTAATCTAGATAACTAGTTAACCACACCGCGTTTCCTCGAACATCCCGAAACCTACACTTGCCTACAATCCAACATAATGTTGGTCCAAAAGTCCTTATCGTTGAATTCGCGAAGCTATGCTCGCGTGAATCCTATTTAAGATACAGAGAGGAAAGCCATCAAACGTCAGTGATTCAAGAGCTCACTAAAGAGCATGAAAACGCGGTGCCGTAAACAGGATGAAGAGATGGAGCGAGCTTGAGCCACTTACTCTACATAAACCGATCAACGAATGGATGAGTGGAGCAGTAAAAAAAATGATGTAACGTATACCGCAGATCTTCGACGAGTCCACCGGTAATTCACTTCAGTTCACTTATAAACCATGTTCCAAGGATACACTGATTCCAACTACTACGGTTTCGATCAACGGAAGATGGAACAGTAAAATAAATACAGCCAGGCATTGAAGGCGATAACATAATCAGTTAGTTGGTGTTGCATTGGTCTAGGTGTTTGAAAAAAACGGGAATCTGTGCAAGTACGTATTGTGGGTGACAGCTTTGGTGCAGGAGTGCCAGTGACTGCGTGATCAAACATCGTCTAGTAGTATCATCGACCATTGCCGAGTTGAGTCCCCATCCAGGGAGACAGCGTGTCGACCCGACTGAGTTTACTGGTTAGTATCCTCATACTTCACCTCAGTCTATTCCATGACTGATCAAAGAGTGCTACGATGTAGATGGTCCTCTGATAGACGAAGTGCATGCCTTAGCCAACGTAAAGTATGAAGCTTGTCCATCCATCTTGAGAGAGTTTCTCCTTCCTAAAACCATCTGACACCTCACCTGATCCCTCAACACTGCTGATTTGATGGTCCAACCAGGCCCGTCCAATGCTTCGGAGCCACCGAGAATTTTCGTACATCATGTGGGCGTAGGACAAAGGTTCTTATCCATAAAACAGTATGGGTGCCACCGTCACAGCCTGTACTCTGACGAACAAACTGACGTCACGCCGGCGTCGCACGTGTCGGAGTTTGACAAAAGCTGTCCTGTCTCTCCCTATTTGAGAAGTGATCCTGTCTCCATTCATTCCACCGGAACTGTCCACGTTGACATATTTGTCCACCCCGTCGATTGGCTCGTCTGCAAGCATGAGGTTTGGGTTTAAGCCCACTCGGTCTCGGAGCAGCAGTTTACACTTCACAGGTGTGAATAGTATGCCGAACGATGTGACAGAAGTTAGACTATTTAGAAAAATTGATATCGTTCGGGATCTGAGAGAGGAAACGTGAGAAAACACCTCGGGAACATTTCGGTCCCCGAGATTTCGGAGGTTGGCGGAGATGCCTCAATCAGTCTATCAATAACAAAGTTGAAGAAGATTGGTGAAAGAAATAAGCATTGTATCACATTACTGGATGTGCTGAACTCGGCTGACGGCATACGCCCACAGGACTTCTCTTACTGTGCCCTCAGAAGTGATGAAATTCAGAAGGGATGTCGTCCAAAATAATGAATGAAGATGAGAGGCATCGGCGATCATAGTTTTTTCGGTTGTCCGCCCTGCTGTATGCGATGAATAATGCTACCCGGCTGACATCATCTCGCGACTTATTGGATATGAAGGGACACCTGGTCATGCAGTTCGTGGTTGTATGTAGACTGAAATATGCAATGGAGCCCAGATATGGACAGAAGAATTATTAAGATCCTCTTTCAGAGCTTTTGACTCCAAAGCCTGACCTCAACGTATCGGTGGTTGGCGTGACTGCAACAGTAACCTATGGGTTGGTAATTGATCAGGTGGCTGTTGATCTGTTCGCCGAGCTTGGCAATTGATTTGCAAACGGTTCATCACCATTCGAGGAGGCACGCCACAAACCAACAGATAAGCCGACCACGCCGCAATACAGATCAAGAACGGGCCAATCAGAATCCAGGTTACAGCGCAAAGACTGCTCTTTGTAGACTATATAAACGCAGGCACGAAGAGAGGAACTACCCAACCAACAGCGCACTGAAGATGTCTCCTCGAATGGTGACGAAACGTTTGCAAATCAATTGCCAAGCTCGGCGAACAGATCAACAGCCACCTGATCAATTACCAACCAATACACCCGAGCTACCAATATTCCAAAACATTACCAACAGTAACCTATCTTTTAAAAAACTTGTTACCATCCTTGTCCCAACCCAGTTGACCAGGAGACTGCTTATCAGAACTCTGTCCATTAACTTATTTGGTAGGAGCCTTGTGTACATACTTCGGGGACATCCTCTAGTATACGCTCGCTCGTATTTTCCACTTTACCTCAATTCGGTGGCGCGGTTCAAAGTTTGATGCATAAGTACTTGGCAAGAATGTCTGAAAGTAGCCCTTACATTTTAACTACCCATGTCTGGGCGTGGATTTGTTAGCATCAACTCAACCCTTATACTTTTCATGAGTTGCGTTCCTCAAAATTCGAACCATTCGAACCGTCTCACCAAACTTCCCCTAATTTATAGTCAAGCCACCGACTTTGGATAGGATCCCATTTCAAGCCACTCTGGAAGTACGCTGCCCATATTACTTTATCTAGCTAGGACTAGCTCCTGCCTCACACTAGGAAGACGGCACAGTTGAGTAGTCCTTATATGCAATACCCCATCCCCACTATGAACCTCCTGAGAGGATACTATTTAAGGTGATTTTGGCATCATTGAATATTTTATAGTTAGGAGATGAAAACCCCTATACCCGAAGGAGAAGCACTTTCTGGTTCCCCGAATAGGTGATCAATCTACCTAACCCACCCTCCCAAAGGATACACTACAGCCTTGAATTGTTATTCATCAGCCTAGACTTACCAACCGACTGTCACCGGAAATTGTTGTTTTCTTGATCGCTACTTACACAATATCCCGAAATATCGATGAGCTGCTTGTGACTTGACCTGGCTTTGCTTGGCCGTCATTTAATCCTGGATTGCACGCACACCATTTACTGGAAGATGTCCGACTGAAAATAATTAAACTGCATTGTGGAATAACGCAGTGCAACTTCCTGACAAAGTGTGCATGATGAATCCGTTTGCGCTTACTGTTACTTTCGTTTAATTAGATGGTACAAAAGTACCCTGAATGCATGTGATGATGGCTGTTATATGGTTTTTTTTTCATTGCGCCAGTAGGTATCGGTCACCAACACACAGTGGCACCAAAATTCCAGCGTACCTACAATTCGAAATATCCCATTCTGTTCTTACACGAGCTGTTCGAAACACTTGGATGTAGCTCATTACCTAAGCGGATGGAGCGCACAACATGCTTCATGTCAGATGTCCTCGCCAAGAACCATCCTCATCGAAGTGTTTAATAAAAGTCATTTTCATTCGCTATCGACGATGAGATCGGGAACCCGACCCTGCCACCCTTGTTTTTTGTAGTGTTTCTGCTAAAAACAATTTCTTCCTTTACCCACCACATTACAGATGTCGTTGGGGTTGTCCACGACACCAGTGAGGTACAAACCATCATGGCGAAAGCTTCTCAGCGAGAACTCCGCAAACGGGAGCTTGGTCTCGTTGATAGTTCTAGGTGCCTCGTACGCTTAACACTGTGGGGCGATGAGGCTTCCAGTTTCGATGGCTCACACCATCCGGTGATTGTTGTCAAAGGCGCCAAAGTATCTGACTTTAATGGTGAGTTTATCCAATGTGCTAACTACTCCGCGGACGTTAAGTCTCCTGAGTGAAGTACTTCTGACGTACTTTTGATTTGGTAGGCTACTCGTTAGGTTGCTGAACAGTTCTTCACTACTTTCCTGATTCTACGACATCATGAGGCATAAGGCAGCTACTACTGTTTGTTGACTACGCACCAACATCTGTGCTTGCACAAAACCAATGTCCAGTTTAACCTCTCCCGGCTAAGTTTCCGAAATTGGACGTCGTAACTAGCAAGGTATATGCCACGCTAGTCACTGATTGAATATTGAGTGCCAAGCCCCCTCCAGGGGCTGGGCATTATACGCAGATTAGGTGTATTATATTGTACTCTGTCCTACCCGCAATACGCTTTTGTGTTCTGTCATCACTAACGTCAACGTCTAAAGCTCTGAACTGGATATACCAACTAGAAGAGTAAGTGATTTGGACAAACCGAGTTTTTTTTACCCGTTCATAAGCCTACTTTTTATTGGAGGCCTGTGATTTATACGACTTTCCCTCGCAGAAAATTACTCTCATTGTAGACTAAGCCTTCACTGTCTCCATCACACCTGATTTTTTCTCCCAGGACGTTCTCTTTCCGTAAGTTCTACTTCATCCGTCCTGGTGTCACCAACCAATGTACCTGAAGCAATCCGACTAAAAGGCTGGTACGAACTGGAAGGTCACAAAGCCAGTTTCGATACGTATAAAAGCGAGATGCTTGGCTCGGGTAGTGGGGGAGATTTGGCAGGGCCTGGCTCTACTGCTGGTTGTCTTGGAGGATGGAATTTGATTCAAGACGTTAAAACATCTGGAGTTGGTACGCACGCAAAGGCTGACTTCTTCACATGCAAGGTGAGAACTCTTCGTATTTCATGTTTATTGCTTTACCAGTCATTCTATCATGATTTCGCAGCGTGTTATTTTTGTTGGCGTATGTACACGTTTACCGAAGGGATCATCGTCGTCACTTTTGGCCCAAACACTAGTTTTCACAATCGTGGGCGTCGTCGTCACTGTGAGATTTAAGCCGGGCTTCTGGGCTTTATGATTGGTTTTTACGAATGAAAAATAGTAATAGGGAATGGAAGCATAGCAAATAGAGTCGACACTGTGTAGGAAAACGGGGAGAATTGAGGACGAGGCAGGGGCGTCGTCATCACAAATGAAGACTCCAGCCCTGACAAGCTGGGCTTCTTTCGTTACCAGCTGACAGTTGAAAGGTGCCATTGGAAACACATAACATCGCCACAACGCTTGTTTTGAAAGTGGGTATACAGATTTGTTTACGCAGATTGTAGCCAAGCCGAAGAAGCCCGCAGTGACTCCAGCCCAGTTATACCCATTATTTGAGCAAAGCGCTATCTACTGAACCACCTGGATGCGCGACTGGCCTTTTTGATACCTTCCGAAGGAGCTGATGCAGGTGACGGTGACAAATACTGTTTTCTTTGCCCGAATCATGACTGACAACCAAAACTCACTAGTTCCTTGCGTTTGTTAGTCGCTAATGGCACATGTGTTGATGTGTAGGTTACCGGTCAGAAGTTGGAGCATAGATTCCACTCTTGGTTTGTGGATCCTCTAACTTGATAACATTTCAACTTCTGGGTTCCTTAGTAAAATATCGAATGTATTGTAAAACAACTTTGCTGCTGAGTTATTTGACGCTGTTTAAGCTGTAAACAAAAATGTTGGTTTCACCGCACTGGGTCGATTTTCATGGAAAGCCCATCGAAATAACACCACAAGGGTTTATGGCCTGAATGAAGCCGCGTGCAAAACGAAGTGTCGTCTTGTGCTGTGTTGTCGGTTCGATTTTAGTACGGCTCACACGGCGCATCCAACATCAGTGGTGGCACTAATTCCTCACTGCTGCACCCCCTTCCGTGTTCGTGGGGTGCAGTTCAAGGGATATTCGATAGAATGGGTGAACGAGCTGTCAACTGAGTGCGGTTCGTAGTCCAATTTAACAAGACAGACTGTACAGTCGTGATTTTGATTCGGGTGATTTCATTAATGTTTATTAACAATGGGTTTATTATATCTTGTTCTCTTTATCACGAAATCTCGGGATGACCCTGTGCCCAACGTGAAAATAATGCAGTTTGGATCTAAATGATTGCATTGTTTGTGGTATCGGCGCCTATATGGTCTGTTCCCTCCTATCCTACTGTGGTTATTTGGGTTAGTCCACATTAAAGGGAAATGTGCCGCTTCGGATGAGAGGACGGGAGCTGTGAAGTAAAACAATGCCGTTAGCAAACTTGCGACTGAAATAGCCAATGCTTCTTAGCATGTTCCGTTTCCATGAACCCATACCTTTCACGGTCTGCTCGTCAGACACGCTTGGTCCCGTCAAGATGAATGTGATTAGTCTGTTCTCCGATGTTTTAGGGTGCCTAATTTTTAGACGTGTCCGCCATCAGGTTGTTGAATTCAATGTATCTTAGTCAGCTTTGCTCGTGATTTTCTGGATTTATGACCGATTTTCAGAGCACAGTTGTATTTCTCAAGAAAGAAAACTTTATGTACCAAGCATGTCCTACGGAGGGTTGCAACAAGAAGGTTATCGATACTGGTCACGGGATGTATCGATGTGAAAAGTGCGGGCGCGAGACGAACAATTGCAAATGGAGGTTGCTTCTGGCGGTATGTTTGTCATTTCCTGTTTGTCGCCCTTTGTATCTTTGCCATTTACCTACCGTCGCTTTCGTGAGCGTTATTTCCATCATAAGCTTCATGTGAATGTGGAAATCCAGACAGACTTTTTGCTAAACTTGTAAATTCTAAATAATTTGGCTTTCGTTGTGTCGTGGGAAATCTTTTCCGTTTCCACATTGATAATGAACATAGAGCCAGTCGCGTGGGTTTTCCCTTTGGTTTCTTTATGTCACGTGTAAGTGCCTGAATTTTCGGTGACGAGTGTTCGACAGGCGTTATGGTTGTATTTTAGTTATACCCGATGGGGTGCAAAGGAGCTTATCTTGTGGCGCTGTGATGACGGGTAACTTTCCTTGTGTGTCAAAACCCCACGTGATTGTTTTCTTCATCACGTTTGCTGAAGCTTAACTGTATCGGTCATCAGTTAGCTGCGTCTCATAGCTGAATTGGCGAACTGGCTCGAAGCCCATTATCGTCTGGTGTAAATAGATTGGTTGTTTCGAAACGAGGTGAAACAGGTGTACATTGTTTTTCTACCCTTTATCAGGGGTTGGCTCAGGCGTGCTTAAAGGTGCTTGCTTTAGGCGGCTTTTCATCCTGCGCTTTCTGCCACCATGTGTTCAGGCTCGTGTTCAAATCCCTCCAGTCCATCTTATGAATGTTTACGCCCCCATTCATACTGTGGTGTCCCTCATCGATACTCTATTGCAAGAATGAAATTGGATGTGATGTCTTATTTATTTCTCGAACTTAGTCCCTCTATATGGAGACCAATTTTTACATCGTGCTACCTATCCGTCAACTGAGTGTATACATGGGTCGTCTCTCTGGGTAGCTCCATAAGTCCTCGCTGACCTGTGAAGGACGAAATCACTTCTCGAATGGGGAAGGCCAGAGCAGCCGACCGCCAACATTCGGGGCGTCTACTTGACATCAGTGGACTACCAAGGGTAGAGTGTACAGTGTGGCGGTCCGCCTTATTCTACTTTTTGGGTCAGAGACGTGATCATTGCGTGCAGATCTTCGGAGACTATGTTTGACGACCTTATCCCGTTGAACGGATCAGATAAGTATGTTAAGTACGCCAAATAGTCTTCGGAGAAGTTAGCTCTCCCTCGATAGATTAGATGGCTGAACTCCATGTGTTTCGTATGCCACAGGACTGATTACCTCATAGTACCCGTTTCGCCCAGCCCTATATAGGACAGAGACGACCCAGAGGTGGTTAGCCCATAACTTAGCAAAGCATGAAAGCTCCTACCGGTCCACTGAGTCGCTTTAGTAAGTGCCATCATCCCGAATCAGGACCGGACTGACTGATAGCTAATAACTCTGGTAGGTATAGCTGTGTCATGCAGCCAATATTGTTCCTGAATCAGAGCTATTACCTTCGCTGAACAAAGTTACATCGGTCGTCCATGCATAGATTGGGCCATCTCCTCTAACTTGTGGCTGTCATTCCAATGTTCTCTTAACCCCCGTTGAACGGAGCTGTAGCAGCTGGAACCACTGATCTTCGATGCATGGTTTTTGGGTTGGACTGAACTGATTTACGGGTCCACCAGACACATGCAATTGCTGTTTTTCTTACTGGGGCTATGGGAAACACGATATTCCTCTTGTCCTAGTCATCTACAAACATCTACATTCTTGAACCTACACTCTTCTAATTACGGCATCCAGTTTTCCGTGGTCGCATACATATAACTTGCAAATAGTATTTACCTCGGTACTGATTGTTGCTTTTTTGTTGAACTTTGGAAGTTATCGTGGCTTGTCAATAGCACCATTTACTGTTTCCCCTTCGGTGCACATTTTCCATTAGTAGCTAACTGATAGTTTGATTATGGATTAGGAATTTTGGCTTCTCACTCATAAGTTCAATTTTTTACAGGCCAAGATTGCAGACCTGACTGGGGATCTGTGGATCACGTGTTTTCAGGAGGCTGCTGAGCAGTTGCTTGGACAAAGTGCAGACAGCCTGGGCGCAATGAAAGAGTCACAGGTGAGTTTTGTTCCGGCCATCCCACATGCTTAAAGTGGTCCGTCTGCGTTCTCATAGTTCACTTCCGTCATATCGTTTGATAGCTCCGAAACGGTTTCTAGTTTCGAGGTCCGGTCCGAGACAACGAGGATATTAAAGCTTTGTGTCTTAGCCACCAGCCAGAACTTGGTTCCTAAATTTGTTGCCTTTATTTTGAAAGACAGTTAATACTGTGTTAGTGTTTCGCCTGTTACACCGGTATCTTGTCACATTTTGACCGCATGCTATTCTCCAAACTTTAGCGCCCCCGGTTGAAGCTTTACTTGCACCTTGTCCTCTGGTTTACCGTCAAATGTGTGTCGAGCTGTGTTGTTGCCACCAGCAGGTTTTCATTGGATTACTTCGGGACCGCAGCATAATTCGACCAGACATCAACTCAAAGGAAGTATGTGTATGAGTAGAGGGTATGGTGGAACAGGAAAAATCAGGAAACAGAATAGGCTGGTGCAACGAAGAAAGTGCGGAAGCTATTCAAGGTAATCCGCAAAACTGGATCAAGGACACCGTCTGTTACTGAGAATGTATACCAGCGTCTAGATCACTGGTCGTATTTCAGACAACTGGAACCAATCAGTCATCATATGTCAAGCGACTTTTCAGGTCAAAGAGGAGTCTGCCTGACACCTGCTACAACTTGGATATAGGCTCCAAAAATACAGTGATGCCTAATACCGGTATGCGAGACGCGATTCCGAGAGCAGCAACCAGGGTTTCGCTCAAGTGCAGGATGCGTTGCCTCAATTACTTCAGCAGCACGTTACGTATTACCGGTCAACAACTGGGGTTTCCTTCGGCTTCAAAGGATCGTTGTCTCTGTAAATTGGTTATTTCTACATAACATGGATGAGAGCGTCCCCGAAGTTTGTGAATCTATCTCGTGCTCCCTATTCTCATATTTCTGGTCGTGTAAGAGTTGAGAACAAACTGTCCAGACGTTCTACAAATGATGGGATTCACTTTCGTTCAATTTTGGTGCTGAATTTAGCACGGAGTGTATACCTCAAGGAATCGAGGCTTTCGGTATCGAGGTTGTACCTGGAAAGACTATGCGGATGACATTGTCTTGTTAGTTGATGACCGTCAATCAGCACTGTCTACTTTAAACAGGACTTCAGACATATTCCTTTGTTTCGGCGTCGTTTTCAATTTCAAAGTGTAAAGTACTGCTGCAGGATTTTGAATCCTTCTCGTATCTCTGAAACTTCAGTGATGTTAACCTGAGTTGGTTGACTGGTTTATCCTTCTAGGAAGCTGGATAAACCGTGACTGCACTGTGACGGTAGAAACCGGTGCACAAATTATTGGGGCTCGAGAAACATCTGCGAACTTGAATTATTTGTGTCATCGGAAGCGAATCTAACTGAAACTGAAGGGTGCGAGTTGGTTCACTGATTAGAGCGTGAATTATTTGACCGGAAGGTCAGTGGTTCGAACCCGACCTCTGCCTCTCGACTTCTCCTGTTTAGGTTTGAGCGACCTGATCCTCGGGCTTCCTTTGGGTGGCATGGCAGCTAGGCACCGAAAGGGTGTCACAGCTAAACGATTATATATTTCGAAGGGCCGTGTAGTCTTGCCTCATGGTTGTGGGACTCGCCTCATCCCTCTATTCGAGGACACTGGACGAATTCAAACGTTTGAGTATCGGTGCCTTCGCAGCACAGCGGGTGCTAGCGGGTTGCAGTGCACGAGTAGTGAATCAGAGTCATTACGGCAGAACATTAAATTCACCAGGTTAAGATGGGTGTGATGTATACTTCGCATGCTTTATTACCGCTTACCAAAGAAAGCTTTGTTTTCAACTCCGACCTCTTGTTGACTAAATTTTCACTGGGGACAAGTCATAACTTGATGACACTGAACGAAGACTGGGTGTTTTATGACCTTCGGACTTTCCCATTTCGAGTCCATGTGACTCTCCTTACATGCGTCACCGGCCTCAATGACAAGCATGCCGTCACTTCCTGGTTGGACCACCCGGCGGGAAGTTATCTGTCGTTATATGATGGACTCACTTAGAGTGGGGTTCGCACAGGGAGTCGTGTCAACACCACGTCTTACCTTCATATGATGCTCAGATGAGTTTACGTCGTCTCTATTCCAAGATGTCGGTACATTTCTTGGTCCCTGCTGGTTCCTTTCCTTGGGAATATAAGACTGTTTGTTTCTTTCCACTTGACTAGAATAGATGTGTGGTAGTTAACCCTATGCATTCATTACTGATGTATTGATGTTGACAATTGACATTTTGGTTTTCCTTCATCAATCGCCTTCTTAATCTGTCATTCTCTCTTCCATTTGTCTTCAAGGATGAAGCCCAGCTGGAGCGCATATTCCTCAATGCTGTGTTCAATTCTTGGGTTTTTCGTTTACGTGCCAAGGTTGATCGTTATAACGTAAGTCCTTACATGCACGTCAGTGCCCCTATTCGGCACTCATTCCTGTAATTGAATTGACTGAATCATGTTCTGCTGGTAGATATAATTGTGTATTTTTATGGAGGGAAGGAAGCCCACTTCGTTCAATAGATTGTCGGAAGCCATTGAGTAAGGAGATAACGAGGGAGAATGTCGCGTTTACCTATCCGAGCAGTAGTGTTTCTCCCGTCGATCATCGCAACTAACTAGAGCGTCATTCGTGCAACTGAGGCGGTGCTTTACATTGGGCAGGTACGTGGTAGAATACGGTTTTCACTCACATGTGGGGTGTCGATCCTCTTATGGTGGGCTCCGTGTGTCTTGATGTTGTTTTCTTCCTTATACACACACAATGGTACTGGTCTTTCTGCACGCTTTCGTCTCGGCAACAGTCCACTGCAAACCTTCTATGACCGTCATCTCTCATACTATGTTAGATTACAATCGTTTTGTGGTTGCAGTCATCAGGCTTAATTTATTCTCGTTTTGTTGCATAGGATGAAGAACGACTGCGAGTTGTTGTGGTTGAAGTGAGGCCTCTGGATCATGTGGATTACGCACGTCGCCTGCTGAAAGCCATTAGTGACCTTGCGCCCAGTCTTCCTGATGAAATAACCGAATTTACGGCTTGATTTTTTAACATTTTCACTCCTGTCGCCGATCTTTGTAATCCGAGAAGGCGTTTTATGTTTGAACCTCAGTGTGTACAGAGATCATGTGTCCACTATATATCTGTTCGTCTATTCGCATTTATGTCATATCCAGCTAACACTTTTTAGGACTTCACCGTACTAATCACTTATGAAGTCTAGGTGCCTTTTTTTCTATTTCACTCGCTGGGTTTGTAGAAGTGCTTTCTTTGTATTTCGTGCGAGGGGATGGATATAGGACAAACGTTTAAATGACGCCAGGGTATCTTAAGCCCACAAACTATCGAAATAATCATTCAGTTGTAACACCCTTTCGGTGTCTAGCTGCCATGCCGCCCAAAAGAAGCATGAAGGCTGGGATACTGCCAGGTTGCCCAAACCTAGACAGGGAAAGTCGAGAGGCGGAGGTCAGGTTTGAACCACGGACCTTCCGGTCAGTAAACTCGCGCTCTAACCACTCGAGCCATCTCGCCCGCAAACTGTTGTCATTAGAGTTCTCGTTCTGTCGCTCGACCCGGTACTTCATCAGTTTTCGCTAGGCAGATTTTAAAACAGGATCGGACGATGGTGCCGGTATTCGGAGATCGTGGTAACCTACTTGGACGTTCATTAACTTGTGTACTTCTCAAATGTGAATCACCCTTTAAATTAAATCAGGCGTGTTGGCTGACAATGGCGAAGCGGTACTGCTTTTCCATATTTGTAGTACCATTCGTGTATGGTTTCTCTCTTCCCCACTGATGTTTTCTCTAGTACTGTTACCTGGCTGCGCAGGGCATTAACGAATAGTAATTTGTTTTGGCGGTCCCTTTGCTTTAGAGTACCTTGTATGAAACAGGCGAATGTGGGAATTTTCCAGGTTGTTTTGGAAGATGAAGTGCGAACGAACTAAACGCAAGTTATCGAGTGCTCCTGGCTGAAGCACGTCTCCCTATGAGTTCTTTAGTTTTAGGTAAATGGATACTGTGACAAACCTGGGTCTCGTTGGCTAATACAATGCAACGCAAGCAGTTTTGCCAGACCTCCTTCCAATCTAGGGAAAAGTGAGCTTGAGGACTTATATGTTTATTAGGCGCGTCTCAAGAAAGCAAGTGTCGTTAGTGTTTTTTGGGTTTATTGAAAATTCAGTAGGTTTTGGGCAAAATGCACTAATTAGGACATTAACTTAGTGCTAACGGAAGACCAAACTGAATCCCATCCAAATCTCCCGTTCATGCTATTCCTCAAATGAATGTGCTGCCTTATCTGTCAGTTGGCACGATATTTAAGATGGCGACGTGTTTTCTTATTAACTACTGGAAACTCTTCGACAGCCCACTACCCATTTCGCTCTTTTTGGGACTTATCAACTTTATGTTGTACTTGAACACAACTGATTAAGTCAAGACTCCCATTAACACCAACTTTATTTTCAAATGGGTGTGTTTCAACAGATGCGTTGGATTCGGTATTGAAGTAGCACAAGGTTGACGGGGGTTGCAGAGTGGCCTGTCTGATGAGTCCCAAAAAGAGCGAAACTGGTAGTAGGTTGTTGAACAGCTTCCGATAACAGTGTTTTACTTTCAGTAAGTCTTTAAATCTATGCTATCCTTAAAGTGTTACGAGCTCACAGTCAAGTTTTAAGGAGAGGTATGTCCTTGGTTTTTTGTAAAGGTGTGCAAAGTTTTGCGGTAGATCTAAAGATATTTTTGCCTTACTACAAGTAGTGGTGCCAAAATTACTGTACGTCCGTTTTGCACTTTCCTTTTTGGACGTGTTTCTGTTTCAAGAACCACCAGCCCTCACTACCACTTTGGTTGGCGTCCTGTTGATTCGGTTAACAAAGCGTGAGTAGTTGCCCCGAGGGAACTAACTCGCTTACTCATCAAATTCTAAAGGCATAAATTGACTTGATCTTTTACAATGAGGAAGACAAAATATCAGTGATCGTGTGCTGGTCCCTGACTTGCTGTTCCCACACTAAGATGTATCAGGACGCAAGGCAGACTTCGGTGAAAAACCTGTAACTCAGCGCAGTGACATGAAGCGACAAACCACGTAAGGTCCCTGCAGGAGAACTGTGTAAGGGGCTCACTGCATTCTACACGTCAGATTTTCAACAATGGGTCTGTTACTGACTTGCTACACTGCGGTGATCAGTGGGTTAGAATTATTAACACCGCAACATGAGCCACTATGCCAACAACAAAACCGTTTTTTTTGCTGACACGATATCACTAATGGAAGACTGGTTTATCGGACTGTCATATATCGGTAACAGGTGTAGTGATGGGTGCCAGTTGCTAGTCTACACTCGTATGTGTAGTGAACAATCCATTCTCGTGGAAATAACGCTCAGCCGATTGAAGCAGGACTGAAATGTGGCTTCTTGCGAGGGTGAAACCAGCGTGTACATTAGTTACCATTCTTTCGTAACATCATAGGCAAGGTTACCGTGGGAGGACTTGGATGAAACCGGTATATCTAAGTAACGGCCTAATATGTCCATATGTTCTTATCCTGTCTGTCTTTATTCTCACCCACCGACAAATCGCGATGAAGCTCGTGCCCGATTTTCAGGGATTTTGGATTCGATAGAAGGCCGAAATAAATGTCTTTAGCCTCAGAGGCAATCTTACCGCCACAATGTGTCTGCTACCATGAAGATCCTGAAACGAGTCACTTGATTAATCTAATGTTCGATTGGTCGAAATTCCACCCACAGATAGATAGTTTGACATCGTGGATTTACGCAAACATAAAAGGCTTTCTTACCAACTCTTAAAACGCATACAAGAGGAGGGAACATGTCCGAAGAGATACACTCACCCCACGGGCAAAGTAGATATTACGACTTCTAATATGTACGAGTTGTAAGTGACAAACGGGATCGGTTTGGGATAAGAGTCAATTTTGTGTTAGAGCAAATCACTGTCGAACTGATCTTCTTGGCGAACAACAAGTGGCCCAAGGAGTTTATAGTCATTATGCAGTTAATAAACTCTAAGCACAGAAAAACCATGAATTCGTGACAAGTCGGACGATGCTTCTGTATAAATGTGGTGGCGAAATAACTTACTCAGTTAATGGGTGACAAAAGCCGATGACCTATCCGGAGTGCATGACATGCATGGGACTTGCAATCTGGAAATGCTAGCAATTGTTAACATATTTTTCTAGAGACGATATGACAAAGTTGAAATGACTTCAGCTGTTTACATCTTGGTTACCAGATTGTCTTTGAAGCGACTTTTCACGTGCGTAAGGATTTCGAACATCTAGGGACGCTATTGGGTATGAAGTATGCATTTTGCCATAATCCAGAGTGAGATACATAAACGGTAGGTGCACTACAAATATTTCGTCAAATGGTCTATCTTCAACAGTTACTCCATAAGCTTCCATTTCTAACGAGTTTTCTTGGAAGAATTCGATCAGTGTCAGCTTCTCTCAGGTATCCCAACCAACACAGTATTATCCGGAGAACGGTAGGGCAAGTGACATGAATGATCCTCTGAAGCTCCTAAGAAGTGTCCATATTTGTTCAGGCTTATGGATCTGTGGTTCTGGTCTATTTTGCTTTTAACGAACACAACCCACTGGACACAGGTTTCGGTTCCATTCAAGTCTTCTTCAGACATCACTCCCTTACATCTCAGATGGATATCATTGCCATTACATTGTGTCACGAATATGCCTATCAGCCAACGAACATTGGACTCCAGTGGGACATGTGTCAGGAGGGCGGACCCACACGCCTTTAAATATCTATAAAGAAATACCAGGTCCCCATTGGGCGGCCAAACGGTCTGTTGTCTGCTCCCAATAGCAGAATCACTTCCCCAAACTGACTTGAAGAATGTAGTTCACTGGAGACCGATGTACCAGGAAATGTGTCTTCCGTTTTGTCCGAAAGCCGACTGGTGTGACTGTCAAAGCATCCTTCCAAATTCTCAGACATTCTTGTCACAAGACACACGCACATCAACAAACAAAAACTTCACATCGACAGTTGACACGGATTCAGTGTGCTAATCGAAAAAAATCTTTTTGACTATTTCCCCGTCTGCCTTGTAATGTTGTCATTCTGGCAATGTGCACACGCAATCAGAAGGAGCCTGTGCACCAAAACGAAGTGTCCGGTTGCCTGCAAAACATTTCGGAACAGTGAGTTCTTGTTGAACTTGAAACGGTACCCCACAAATGGTCTACTTCTGTTTCATGCCAGTTACCGTTTGGAGCATCAAAATGATGTAACAACTGAGGGAGTAGCTAAAACCCAGCGCTTTGGTAGTTTGCAAAACAGTCCGTATCACAAACTGCTACGGTAAACTTACCGCACTACGTTTTGTCCAAATCCACTTGCTGAATGGCTGAATTGCCCTTTGTGGGGAAAAGGAGTTAGACCGAACAGGTGGTATTTCCAGCCTTCCCAAGCTGTCTTATCTATGGCGACATTTTCAGTGGCTTTCGGAATCTGATAGCGAATTTCAGGTCATTTGACGGTTTGCTGTTGCACACCATTGGTAGCAGTTACACAATGTCCGCACCGACTGTGCGCACGAATAGCAGCTGAACGAGCGTTCATGCAGAAACTTAACTGCTTCCCGATTTCCACTCGAACCATTGATCGAGCTGCTGTTCGTGTCCACTTAGTGAACTGACTGAATTTTAGGCAGCTAAAATCGGATCCACAGATAACCTCATTCTTACCGCCAGAGAGTGAACATACGCATTTGTGCTTAACCTAGTAAACGTGACCTGTATTTACCCTGTCCTCTGAGTGTGAGAAGGCCAGCTGGTCAATGCAGTAGACGTTCGTGAATACGGCGTAGATGCTGTGGTGGATGCAGTTGTGAGGCTAGGACCAGTGAGTTGGACTGTTTGATCAGTTGCTCGTTCGGATAGCTTCATGCGTTCAAGCTCGAGAAGTCCGCTGTACCGCTGGACACCACTGATGCCTATGGGTCACATTTACCTGGTTTGGTTACGTCGTAAGTGTAATGAGTCCTACCACGTACTTTCATTTTGTCTACTCTCGTTAGCTGTCTTCTTGTCGGGTGATGCTTGTGTTACACGTGCAGAATGGGTTGGGGATAGGAGACCATGGTTGGTCGGTTTAGAAATCAGTCTTGGTTAGCTGTGCACCTGAGTGTATTATGTTTCTGTTCATCCGGTTGCAACCGATGAACAATGGTTTGTTACCATGGTACCGGAAGTGTTCTATTCTTAGCAATGTGGTTCGCATGTAGTAGAGTGAGGCACACAGAGAGAATCGAGATCTGCACGTTATTGACACTGACCAACCGTTGCATAATACATCAGCTTAGACTACATCAGCAAAGATCATTCGCATGCCCAAAGGTCAGAGAGGTTACCTTGGGAACAACATCTCAGTCGTTCTAGCCTCAGTAAAAATGTCAGTCTGATCCCTTAGTCTGGGATTGAACGAATAAATACACTCCAGCTTTATCGGACACCCAATTCTGTGTTCATTGTTTTGTTTTTTTACTGACATTAGCCAAAAAGAGCTTGAGGGTCGCCTAGATGGCAGGTAGTTCGTAAAAGCTGTCGCCCCCAGAAATCGCTTAAGGTTCCATGGGTTGTCAAGAACACCTTAACTCGTAAGGAACTGCTTCAGCAGCAAACCGAAAATGGCACCTTCATGGGCAAATTCCACAGTAAGTTCAATCTAAGGCTTCAGGAAACTAATTAGTACATTGTTTGAGGATTTGAACGGAGGACTGGATTCATATTAACCTCCCTTTCATAAAGGAGGTTGTCCTTAGGAAAGCTGTGCAGATGGCTGAAAAGATGAGAAGCAAAATAAACCAGTCCCCAAGACGGTTTCTTCGATTTTTGAAGAAGACATAGTCTACCGTTGCTATCGATATCGGAATCTGTATTTAGGTACGTGGAACGCGAAAGGATATGTCCCAAACAGATGCCGATTAATTTCGCAAAACTACCCAAATGATATAAGCCAACTGTAGTTAGAGGGATTTACCCAGAACCAATCGCTGTACTATTAAGCGTATTATAATGGTGTAAAACCCGATAGACAAGCCGGCGCAGTTCTGATGAGCAGAAGGTACTACGGAGGTGAAGCCGGGTTCTTTCTGCGTGACCCACGAAGTTTCAAACTTCTGAAAGCAATATACCGCAAGTGACGACTGAGCCGGCATCATTTTTAAAAGAATGACAATTCAACAACTCTGTCAGCGCACAGCAGTGCCATTCTCTAAAGCTTCTGGCCGAAATTTCCTCAGCCCTTCGTGGATCTCTATAAGATTCACAAATCGGGTGCAACGTTGTGCTCAATATTATATGTATGTGTGTACGTTTACCCACACTACAAGGTGACTATCTAACGAAAATCTGGAAGCCATCTAGGTTCCCGTGGCCAAGCAACCCCTACAACACTATACTTCAATAATAGTGTCAGAGTTTTGGAAATTTTAGACAAGACGATATTATTTCCATATCTCTCTTTTGAAAAAAGGCAGTGGGTGTAACTGGACTGTACCTACAATCTAAATCCTGAATAACCTAAAGAAGCTAATTCCATGATGTATGTAGGATATTATCCTCGTTCGACGAAGATGTTTGTACAAACGAAGAAAGAATTGGCAGCAGGCTGCGCTCTCAGATTAGTGATTAGGGTTAGTTTAATACTCAAACACGAAAGACACCTTTAACGTTTATCGTATGTGTAACATTTCTGTTGATCAGATGTAAACTTTGAACAATTTTAGAAAGGTACACCCTTGCGTCTGATTTACAAGTGGGGCTGGACAAGAGGACAGAACAACTTTCGCGGATTTTCGCTGGATAGAACCGATAGCGTTTCTTGTAAGCCAACCTTGACTAGGCAGAACACAGTTCGCTGACCTGGTACTACTTAAACGGAAACATGACTTGGTGTGCTATCTCTTTCGTACAGCCGGAAAAGTATGCACGAAAAAGAGTCTACCTTTTATATGTTCACGCAATTTATGAGCCAATCGAAACACGTCTATCCAATGTAAACGGATAGAGTTCCAACACAGTCATCAAGTGGATAGTTGGATTTGCGACGGCCACACCATAATGGTAATAAATGGCTCCAGTCGGACATCTGAATCGAAAGTCTGAAAACCGCTAACAATGAAATCGTGAAATAAGAGTAAATGACACAAAACGGGGCTGTCCGGACATGGAGATCCGATCTATTCATCCAACGGGCCATTGTGCCCTACCAAGCAAGTAAGAATTTGCAAATTCACGTATATTCTTGAAGTTGCCAGATTATTCGAAAAACTAGGCACGATTGCTATAAATGTGTTCACGGTTGTTCCGGTAGTGTGAACTGGCAGATACTCGGTGGATTAATGGTGCTCACTGGTAAGCCTCAACGGGTGGGGTAAATTCAGAGAGACCCTCTTAAAGCATTTAAGCATATCAAGCCCCATGCTTATCCGTGTTCTCATTACAAACTTTGCTTGGATAAGTTGATATTGTGCACCGGTATTCTACGGTTGTGTCGCTGTTAGTGATTGTCATACTAGTAGCACATGTTTTAGATGACGGGGCCGACCCCTTGCATTGAACTGAAGTGACAGGGATCATTATTCACTGAGGTTCGGATCTACCAGGTTGGAATTTCGGACCTGGTAACACGCATCTGAAGGTGTTCACCATTTGGAAATATCTGGCCAGTTTTGTCTGAAAAGTATCCTTAGGGCATAGGTGCATTATCGAATGTCCCGAAATGGTCTTGATCAGGGCTCCTCTCTGCTTGCAACGGAGCAGACTGCAACCTGACTGTCAACCAGAAGATCAACCAATGACTTCATATTTGATGCCCGTATTCCTACTAGAGTTGACCTGTGGTCGTCACTGAGCCACCTGAATCTGAATCGTAATTAAAAACGCGGGTCTGCCCTTGTTTTGACTAAAAATGCTGCGACTCTCCGGTTCACCGTTTGCATGGGCTGTGTCCCCATCTGCTTGCACGATCATCGTTCAATTCCAGAGCTGCTGGTGGTCTTAAAATTGTTCCAAGCTACTAACTGTCTAATCAACAACGGCCAAGGGATGTTCAAACGATCCCATTTACATTGGTCGTTGGTCAGATAGCCATCAACCCGTTCTCAGAACTTATAAATTAGCTCTTGTTTCGTCTCCACCCGGAAGGACGTCATCAGTGTGCGGTTGACGATCTGCATTCGGCTTGCCATGGACGAAGGCATGCTGATATACTTCTATGGGAAAGAACTTCAGGAGACATGTTAGTTCATCGTAGAAACCCTGTTTTTACTATCTAATTGTCGCTGGTTTCTGATGAGATCTACCAAGGGAACCTGAAGTCGAGCAAATCCAGAATGAATGCACTTAAACACATATGGGACCCGAAAGCCTGAATATAACGCATCCTGCACCTGACTGTTAGTTGAACACACAAACAAAAAAAACTTCATCGTAAAAAAGTGGCAGTAGATTTTCGCTTAACAATCCACTGAGATCGATCTCACTTTTACATTCCTCATATGTGTTTCTTGACCAGTCTCTAAATGGTCGGTTGTTGTATTTTCTCTGTCCACATGCAATATGGTGAGAACCCTAGCTAGTGTAAAGTCAAGCAAACGTCAGAGTCCGTCGTAGGATAAGGTAATTTTTCGTACAACAGTTTTGCAGTACAATGGTGGATCGTTGTCATCCGGTGTTCCCATCTAATCTCACACCGGTTCAGGGTAGCTCTCTCTCGGAAAGGTGGACACTCACTCCTATCATGAATACAACGTGTTCCGTTTTAAACTGCATGACCACTATATTTATTAGGGCCATGAATGTTAATGTTCTCGGCTATAAAACCATTAACCATCAGGAAGACCACCAGCACCGCCTTGACAGACCTTTTTCCCATGCGTAACTGACAATTCATTTATCTAGCATTCTAGACTGGCAAGGTTACTTTCAGACACACTATCAGGAAGGTCAGATCCCTGAAAGCGACCACTGAATGCCCGAAATCCACTGAGACCCTCAGGTCCGCTAGGTGCTGACCAGAAAGACATCGCCCCCTCAATATGCAGCGCTTCACAGCCTTGTATCAAACTCAGACAGCGCAAGTCAGCGTTAATCACGGTCAGGCAACGCCCCCGCAATATGCAGCACGTCACAGCCTCGTACCAAAGCCAGACCACGTGCATCAGCATTGGACCAAGTTCAGACAATGTCCCTCCAATAAATAGCTTGAGACCGCTATATTTTAGCACTCGCACGCACTCACGCTCTCGCACTCGTTTGTTCGGAATATAGCTGTTGCGTTCCCTTCTGTGAGTCTTTTTTCGACACTAGGCACTGGAGCGGGTCAGCAATAAGATATCTCAGATTGGCGAATCAGCAGGTATAACACAGACCCACACCAGCAGTCATAGAAGTGGTTATTAGCACCGAATGAGTGATAAACAAACGCGAAATTCTGACGATCCCCGAATCTGGTATCAAGCGCCATCTTCATACAACCCTGAGTCAGTCAGCTAAACTTTTACCAGAGAACTAGCTGGGTATTCGATTCAACGATCTATCCCCTATTTGAATTGACTCGTTCTGTTATTTTGACTGTCTGTTAACAAACTAAATCATGGACCGACACAAATCAAACACTTTTGCAACGTTTTAGTAAATCAGAAGCAACTTTATGGTCTGCGAGAATAGTTGCAGTGAAATAAGATCAGACACTGAAAACCAGATTGCTTTACAGTCAATATAGTATAGACATATGGTGTAACAGTACATGTTTGGGTGTGGAGCTATTAAAGTCCATTCAGTTCATCCTCGTCGTCCTCGTCACTGCTCCAGTCGTTAACCGATGCCCGTGGATATCGCAGTTCGGACAGAAGATGACCAAGACTCCTGCGCCCGGTAACCAGGAGCACCGAAGGTATTGATGTGCGTTCACGTGACCTCATGCGTAATCGTGTGAGCAATCTTGAGGTAGACGTTGCACTCGGTCCGTTTTCGGTTGTACTTGCACTGGCGACAGTACTTGAAGAAAGGTCGTCTTCATCCTCCACACCGGACTGTGATTCTACCGATCTAAATCTATTGCTTTGAAGTGGCGCCACATACTCTCCACCGTTAATTCGTTCACCCAAATATCGGTTAGTTAACTGATGCAATGGTTCATAATGACCTATGCGACCTCTTCTCTCAGGGGTGGGTAGATTTCGAAGGATGTTCAAAGAAGCCATAAGATTGCTGTTTTGTCGATTTTGGTTGTTGCTGACGTTCCTCCTAACTTCTTGCGCATTTTCTCTAGTATCCGTTTCGGATTGCTCTGTGGTTGTTCTATTATCTGTCATTTGCGAAGGCACACTGCGTAATAACCGGCCTCCGGAAGCAGTTTCTAATGTGGCAGCTAAGACATGTTGACGCCTCTCTTCAAGTTCTAGAGTCATTAAACGCAACATGGCTGCCAGTTGTTCCCGCGTTTCACGCAGCTGTTCCACTACCCTACTTGATCTCCTCGGTACAAGGCGGCGGAATTCCAGGGGTCTCGATTCCCTCGGCGGATGGTTTATGGAGACGCGAGAGGACTCATTTGGGTTTCTCTCTTCTGCACTAGCTGCGACAGCCGAAGCAGCTTCATAATATGGTCTTGTACTCTGGCGTGCTGTTAAATTTGCACCCGGATGAATAGCCGGGAGGCTGAAGTGACTAATGCCGTTTGTTGTGTTTGTGGCTGGACTTTCAGCATTACTGACATCAAGTGTATGGAGAGCTTCATTTGTTCGACGGTTGTATAGCTGTTGCCTTGCTGCGTGATACGTCGGTGAGGGTGGGATTTCTGTCTGCATAATGGAAGGCGGACAATTCCGTTGCGTTTCCTGGTGTGAAGCTATCGTAACTTCGGCTGAACTATTACTGGTAGGTGTTCTTAGTGGTAAAAGTCGAGTGTCTGTGTTAAATGCATGTTCCATGGAAGAGTGAGATCTCATCAAATGACCGAGAGCTCTTTCCCCATTACTGGCTGATTCGAAGCAAGAGGGACTAACTGAGGGACGAGAGTTGTTGATAACGTTTAAGTGAACTGGCTGTAATCGGCCAGCATTCCTGTCGCATCTATCTGTACGATGTGTGGTGGACCTGTTATTTCCCGCTCGTGCTGTGCTGTTTGCAATGGGCACCCTTGTTACTCTGGAGGACACGTTTTGGACCGCCTGATGTGGTCTGATTGAAAGACGGGATTGAGATGCGTTTGTACGATAATCGCTGTTCGAACTAGTCCTTCCTGGGCGTCTGTTATGTTGCCGACGATTCGATGGTGGTCTTATATTCATTCCGAGCCTGTTCAAACCATTTGGTGTCACATTCTGCTGGTCCGTATTAGCAACTTCCTCCAGAGATGAGTCTACAGATACGCAAGAGTTTGGCAATAATCCAACCGCCGGAGTATCATATTCCTCAGAAGGTGAAGCTGAATCCAGCTGTTCCTGTTCCGATACCATCATCATTTCTTCTGATTGTTTCTGTATCACTTGTTCCTGTTGCGGCACCTTCTCAAGTGGTCTGCTTATCAACTGCTTCGAACAGTCGGAAAGCAGAATATCTAATTCAAACGGACTGTAACGGCGATGTTCATGCTTTTCGTGTTCTTTCAAAATCCCCATCCAGTTGCAGCCGATCTGTGTACATCGAGTTCTTTTTTTGTTGATTCTCTCCACGAGCTAAACAGGTGCCAGATAGACAGTAGAGGTTTGTGTGTCACTTCATATCAGAAACAGCTTGGTAATGTGGTTAGATAATATCTTGAAGCGAAAACAATGTTAGACACAGTTAGAAACAAATCTGTCGTTACATGCAACCGACTTCTCCAGACTCTTGCTCCTACGTGCAGTGATCATGTGAACACAGTCCTTTCAGTAGCCTTGTACAACGTTTCAAGTGGCGCAGTTTGCAGATTTGTTTAGATATTTTCAAGGCAGTGTACTCCATATACAAAAATTGAGTGCTTCAAATTCGGTCCCAAGATCATTTGCTTAAATGGAGCTTTTTTAGGCATTGGACATAAACGGATGTGGCTTATCGTAACGTTTAGCGCTCCATGCCTCGTCAGAAAGGATCATCAGACCAAACCTTGATGAAGGTCATGCAGAAATGCGTGCTTATTGATGTTTGTTTTATCTCCCTGGCAAACATAACTTGCCGTGATCTACGTGCATACTTAGCACTGTGAATTTCATACACACAGCTAAATCAACCAGGGGTCATGGGATCAATCCTGGTTTTGTATTACGCCTCGAGGTTGGGCTGAAATTAGGACATGCATTATCTTGGAAGGGCATTACTCATAAGGCTGCTGAAAGCCTTTCGGCAACCCACGAGCTGGCGCAGTCTCCGAGTTTCCGTTAACCTTATGTTCTACCTGTACCCATATTGCACGAAATTCGCGAAAGCTTAGTTCTCATGGTAGAGTCAGCTTAATCCCAGCTGAATCTCTCGCTTGTGGTTTCTTCAAATGAATATGCTGCACACGTACTGCCCACGGTTTCATTTGGCACATTGATTTTGGTCTCAACTTAGTGTGTTCCTTTGATGTGACCCCGTCTTTGTCATGGTGACTAGCAATTTCAACTGTGCTCACATTGGTTCATCGGATTTGCTACTCCAAGTCATCACCGTTTCCTTGAAGGAACTACTTTTAGGTTGCACGTTTAGCGTACATTTCCATTTTAACTCTACATCTGGCTGACACGTCGATGGAGTCGTCATGGGGCATCCTCTTGGTCTCCTGATGTGTGACGCTTTTGTAGGCAAAATGGAGCTTAGCTAAATGAATGGAGAGATGATACGAACTCACTTTTATGGTAGGCACTTAGATGATATTTTTATGCTTGTATCAAACAGCTGCGAAATAGACGCTTCCTCGAACAACTCTAACTAAGTGCATCCCTTCATTTAGTTTATTTTTTGAATTGAAAATGTCAGTGTATTCCACCTCGTAGACGTTAAATTAGCCAGACTAGGTTCATTTCAGATATCCGTCTCCAGAAAACGCACGTAGGGGAGAGAGCACACAACTCTTATAGCTTTGTGCCACTGAAGCGGAAACGAACCCTGATTTACACTTTAAAGAACCGAGTGAGGCAAATCTGCTCCGCTGATATACTAGGCTCTAAGCTGAAGCACAGCACTAACGCGATCAGAGCTAAAGGTTATCCGAAGAGATTTCTAGCCAAAACTATGTTTGAAAGTCCTATCCAATCGCCTATTAAGATGGTTGCAGAGAAGCCTATTTATGTGGGTCCACGCCATATAGGTGATTATTTTGTAAACACTTGTTTCAACCCCTCCAACACACCTTTCCAACTTAACCTATACCTGCTTCATTTACAGCCAGCCCTTTGCTGAACATTGACCTCAAAGAAAGGGTGTCAGTTCTCACCTAGAACACGAATGTGGTTATTGTCGAGTGGAATATGTTGGGCGCACGACACGGATACTTGCTAAGAGAATACGTGAACATCTCTGTTCCCGAAACCTCACTAGACTCAACATTTCGGCCAAAAGCTTGTTCACGTCACATGTAATTGGCACCGATCACGAGATCGTTTTGTAAGTATCGATCCAACGGCAGCTGAAGCAATCTTAAGAGGATTGCAAAGTTCGGTGCTATGCCGATAAAACTACTCATACGACCTATGGGTCTGTCTTGATCACGTGAAACGACCCACCCATTCGCTCAGTGGCTCTCTAGGTCACACCACAACATCCATTTAGAAGCGACTGGGGCTTAACTGATCGTCCGTCTTTCCGAGTTTAATAGGTCAGTGACCAATCTTAGCTGTTCATTCCATTACTTACCCATATTTTAACTATTAGATATGTACCGAGCTGACGACGAAATACCGAAGACATCAGTTCCTGCCACTAGGTTCATGCTGAAACTAGGAGAATATCCACGAGATATTGCAACATATTTTCTCAAAGGTTGCTCATAAGGTCACTGAAAACACATCGACAGTCCGCAACCGCCTTCGCCCATCCGGAAGGCGAATTCCCCTAGTTCCTGTCAACTTTATGTTATACTTGAACCAAGGTTGGAAAAAATCGGCAAGAGGCGCTCACTGGCACCCCAGTTTGATTTTAACACGATAATAAACTGAATCCTGACTAAATTTACATTTTGTGATATTATTCTACTGAAACTGCTGCACAAAGGTCGTCTCGTATTTCGATTGGTACGATACTCGAGTCATCCAGCGCATCTTCTAGACAGAACATACTATCAAACAAGTTTGCTTTTGAAACGTTTTCAGCAACCTTATGAATAGTGTTACTTCAAGAAAGTACGTAAGACAGGCTTTGCAGACTGCCACCGCTGTCCCTAACTTAACACAATACCTACCTGGTACTGTGTTACTCGGGCGCGTTTAATTGTTTTTTTTTATCGGGTGAGCAATTGATCTCTCTGCCGAACTCAGCAACTAGCTTGCATACGAGAAGGTCAACTGATACCCCAGCATCCAACTAACGCAGCCGAACTGTCAATATTTCGAGACATTCCGAAAGGCCTCGGGCAAAGCGGCTCAGAACTGGGTGGTTCCTGCCTGCTGGCAATTCTCCACAAGGCAACATCTTTATTTTCTCCATGCGTGTTCTCCCTCACAACTTTATGCAAGCTAATTGCTAGTAGCTTCCACCCAGTAGACAGCCGAACACCAAACACTTCGTATGAAGTTTAACTTAAAGACATAGTTAAGTTGTCTTTATTACCTGGCCTTCGGGTGATAAGTTTATAAAGAGAAGCTTGTGATCGATTTCAACGCAAGTCATTCAAACAGCTCTTCACTCAAAAATTGGCATGCATAATAACTAAAAACTACTAATGGTTCAGCTGGAGCACCCTTTCGACTACATAATTCACTTGGAATATCCTCACTTCGGTCAAGAACAGGTCCCAAATCGT